AGTTGAAAATCATTGTGCTACATTCCTATTAAATCAAATCAATATCCAAAATATCTCTGTAACTGTTCATATGAAGAGCATATACTATATCTAATTTTACCAAAAAATAAATAAATAAATAAAAATTAAAAATAAAAATACTATGCTTGGACAGCGCTTATACATGTTTAATTTAATACAGTAATTGTATAAATATTAGCCCCTATTTGACCCCCATTAAATTACATTTCATTTTTCTTCTTCTCTCTCTCTAGAAATCGATAACGAAATCTCAGATCTCTTAACCAGTTACTCTTTCAGCCCTTGTTTTTCCTGGTTTCAGCTTTTTTAACCAGGTACTCTTCCAGCCTTTTTGTTATCCAAAAGACACAAATACGCACACATGTATGTATGTATATGTGTATGTATATATCAATATACCTACAAGTGTATGCATATGTATATATCAACGCATGCGCGCACACTCTTGACATTCTGTTTTTTGCATCCAGCATTTTCTTCTCAAGTCAATCGAGTCTTTAAACTCTCTTTTTTGTGAAGTGTGTACCGTTCTGTGTATATATATGCATTTATCTGCTTATATTTATGATTTAATCGGTTTAACAAGCTGTGAATTGCTTGAGGAATGTAATTTGTTAGATCACATACTTTTCGATAGTTTTTTTTCCCCTTTTTTTTTTCATTTTTCTAGAATTCGATTTGTTTAAATTTTAAATGTTGTTTGCTTTCTGGAGTGGCCATTGTATCAACCCAGAATCGTTGGGTTGTAATAATTATCTTTGGGAGCCGCTATTTACGTCCACACAAGTTTTATATATATATATATATATATAGTGGACACCGGTACTTAGCTTATGTTAAGTACCGGCAACATGGCACACAATTTAATTGGTAAATCATTAAATTCATGGATCTACCATTAATATATTCACCGATCAATTGATATATCATGTCATCAAGAACCGATGCCCATTAGATCATTTCCACACACACACACACCACACACACATATATATCCTATTAAAATTCTAAATTTTTATTTAAAAAAATATTATTCTCATTCACATCAATTACAATATCGTTCTTATTAAATTGATTCATTTAAACAATATACATCCGCACCATTTTTATATATCTATCCCATTATAATTTCAATCCTTTTATTTTTCTGTCTACACAATTTTTATATATCTATACGTCTATAGCATTTTCTATATATCTAGTGGATGAAAGTATAGTCGATGGTTTCCCAGCAAATGATTTTTAGAGTTGAGTAAGGCCAATAAGAGAGTATTAACTTTCAGTATATGCCAACTAAGATTCATATAATGATATCCAGTTCAAAATCATGGACAATCAGGAAAAAAAAATATATCCACCTGGCTGGGGTCCAAGCTCCATGACATGCAATTTGGATGCAATTTGTCCTGCATTATGGCTCCTTTTGGTAGTCATTTTTTTCAAAATGCATTTTTCTCTTTTTTCTTTTCAACCACACATTTTTTATTAAAATAATATTACACGTAAATCAAAAAAATTTCCTTATTTCTCAACCACACATTTCACATCAATTTACTATTTAAAAATGAATTTTTACATAAAAATGCTTATCAAACGCTCTCTATATATTTTTGTGGCAAAAGAAATAAGTAAAGAATATTTATCATTTCCAAGAACCTGCAAATTCCTTGACAGGATGTGCGTGGTTGAGGAAATTCATGATTTTAAAAATGTCCCGATTGGAAACAGGTAAAATTCGTAACTACGCGATTTCAAGGAATAGCGGCCACTTGATGGAAACAATTCGGGGTTTATAATGGCTCAGCTCGAGAGAAGCAGATTAATTTGGAAAAAGAAGTGTCTCGAAAGATATATCAGATTGATTGTATAGATATATTAGTGGATGAATTTAGTGTGATTTATTTTTAATTAATTTTATATTATGTCTATGATGCTACCAAAAATCGTACCTGCAGATTTCCCGAACTTGATGATTGATAAGGAGCACAAACGTGATCTTCCGATACCTGAAACAAAGGAACGAGGTGTGTTCTCGTCGCTCCTCCGATGCTTAAGTCAGAAAGGGGAAATATATGCGTGAGGCTATGTGCTGAAGAACAATGAGAAAACGTACTTGAATAATGGTTCAAGGTTCTATATTTATAGTAGTAAGTGACATTCTCCTAATTGGACTCAACTAGCTGGATGTCCTCATCTGTTGGAGTCCTGAATGGTTAAGGAGTTGGTTGGATTCCAGAATTATACGTGAGATAGGATTTTTGTGGGAGTTAAGATTCCTAATTGCGTAGGAATTCTAAAGGGTTAACAATCTTCAGTAGTGAGGGGGAGCACATTCCCGAGGACAATGCCGAGGACATATGTTTGCAATATGCGAAGCAGCATAGAGATGTGGTCGGGCCTAGTGTCTCGAGGATGAACATGCTCGAGGACACCGTAGATGGATTTACAACTTTATCAAAATTAGTCCTCGAGATATACTGATCGGGGATATTGGAAAATGGCACCATCATAGGCCCCCGTGCATATATGCTCGAAGATATGCTCGAGGATATGATGCAAAGAGACCGAAAATAAAAGCTCGAGTTATAGCTCGCGGATTTCTGAACACCTGTGCTTGATCGAAAGGCTAACTTGTACTGACGTTAGCCCTAGAATAGGAAAGGGCGGTAAAAACTGGTAGGGTTAGATGTAGGACACGTGTCCAGATCCAACGGTCGGGGTAGTGACCTTTGGGCTTCCTGCTCCTGTTGCCTATAAATTCCCCCCCCCCTCATTTCATTTTTCACTTTTAACTCTCAGTAAACTTCTCTCGCTAATCGTCGGGATCGTACTTTGAGTTTTTAGACGTCGACTTTAAGGTAAGACCTCGAGTTTTTAAGTTATTCTTTAGGCATTTTTTACGTAGGTCAGGATGTCTAGTAGTAGCAGTAGCGACACTTCATCCTCATCATCCTCGAGGAGTACTCCCGAGGATATAGGATGCTCCATCATACCTATGGCTATCCCAATTAATGCCGAACCTCGGGCACAAAGTATCCCGACCCCTTTTAGGTATCCCGAGGTCCCCTGTAAATTTAAAGAACATCTAGCAATATCGACGGCTAGGGAGCATGGGCTCATGCCCAAATGCGACATTAGGACGCCAGCGGTAGAGGATAGGATGGCCTTTGCTCGGGATGGAGAGTTCGTGATTTTTAGGGACTCACTAAAGGGGGGATTTCGATGGCCTCTGCATCCCTTTTTTGTGGCCTTATTGGTCGAGCATAATATGAGCCCTGGACAGCTCGTGCCAAATGGGTGGAGGATGCTTACCTATTTCTTTATAGCCTGTAGATACCTAGGAATTAACCCATACGTCGATCTCTGTAGGATGGTGTTCGACCTAAAACAGCTTCCTCGATATACTTGTTTTGCTTACCTCTCGTCCCGAGGAGGATTTAGATTACCGAGGATGCCCAGTTCTTTGAAGGGTTGGAAAGAGAAGTGGTTTTATGTCGTACCTCATGATAGCGACCTTCCTTTTAGTCCTAGGTGGGTTTTGCCCAACACTCCCCGATTTTGTGAAGGCCGGGCCTATTTTGAATCTTTAGAGAGGTATCGGGTAATGTTAGAGAACCTCGAGCCTCTTGTATATGATATAGATGACATCCTCGGGGATGACGTTCTCGATCTCGCGGATGTTAAAGGCACTGAGGGTAGGACCTTTTTGCCTTCCTCTTTACTGATCTGTCCTTGAACTTATAATTGTGCTCGTTCCAATGACTTGTTCTTTTTTGCAGAGATAACTTTTGATCCTTCAGCCCTCAGACAGGTCGTGACCAAGAAGTCAAAGGCCCCTCAAACCCGAGCTCCAGGGTAGAAGAGAGGGAAGAAGAGAGCTCGGGACCCAGGCCCCGAGAATATCAGAAGTGGGCCTGGGGAAACTTCTGCCCGGGGACGTACCCCGACCACACAGGCCACTGAGACTCCTACTGGTCCACCTCGATCACATCCTCGGCCAAGGAGTACTCCCGAGGTTGTTGACCTCGATGATGAGGTTAGGCCAATGCCCTCTTTCCAGAATCAGGAGCCTGACTGGTGTCCTCTGGTGTCAAGCATCGTGGACAAATATAGGAAGGACCTCGGTTTCGATGAGGGCATGAAGGCTCTGGAATCCCTTACTCTGAAGGTAAGCTCGTCCAATTTACTTTGTTTAAATACAAGATTTAAAAAGGTTTAAACGTTGTGATTACTTAAGCTCGGGTTTATATGGTGTAGGCTTTGAGCATTGCCCGAGGCCTTTCTCTGAAGGGGAAAGATGAGGCCAAAGAGACCACCGAACTCGAGGACTCTTCTCGAGCATAGGAGAAGAGGATAGCCGACTTGGAGGCTGAACGCTTTCTTCTTCAGAAAGAGCTCGAGGACTCGAAAAATGTCGCCCAGAGAGCTCGAGAAGAGGCTGGAACTGCTAAGGGCGAGGCTGAAGGTTTTAAGCTCGAGATCGAGCGTTTGAAGGTTGATTTCGAGACTCGCCTGGCTGAAGCTCGAGGGATGGCGATCGAGGACTTTAAAATGTTCGAGGAGTTTAACGGCCTTAAGGGAGAATATGCCATGGGCTCGTACTTCCATGCCTTCAAAGAAGCTCGGGCATTTTTGAGATCGAAGCCCGACGCAAACCCCGAGGATCTAAAGAACATCCCCGAGATTGCTGATACCCTCGAGCTATCAGAGTCCGAGGAAACCGTCGAGGACCAAGAGGTCGACGTTGACAGCAAGGACGCCGTGGAGGAGCAGGGAAGCACAGCATCGGGAGAAAGGGCCGAGGACTTAGATTAGTTTTTGTTTTTTTTTTAGGACTTAGATTAGTTTTTTTTTTTTTTTTTTTTTGTATGATGATAGCCCTTCCATTTTGTAATTTGAACATGTATTTTACTCGATCAACTATTTTCCTTCTGCTGTGTATTAGTATCTCGATCATTCAAATAGCCGACGTAAGATGGTTAAATAACTCGACGCCTAGAGTAGTGAAACACCTCGAGGACCTAATTTGTGAAAATATTTAGTACACAAAATTCATCCCGAGGACTCAAACTGTAAAATCATTTGGGAACATCATTGTTGAACCCGAGCACTAAACAAGTTACCACGAGGACTAAATAATAAAATTATCTTGGAACATCCAAGTGTGAACCCCCGAGCACGTAGACAAGTTACCTCGAGGACTAAAGAAGATTAATTATTTTCGACGACAAATTAATCATCTCGACGATTGAGAATAACTCAATTTTTAAACAAGTGATAATGCCCAGGACAGTGTAGTTTTCTACACACTTAACACTCGAGGATTAAGTTCAAGGGATGGTAGTCCCCGAGGAGTACGAATAAATGTGACCGACCTCTGTACACGAATTTATCCCGAGCTCTCATTTCCAGCCTTGGACGAAATTACAAGGATACATGGTCGGGATATATGTCCTCGGTATTTGTACTTGCACTATTTTGATGTGCTGATTATGAGCTCCAAGATTTTGGTGCTTGCGCGAGGCAATGCTTTTGACGGCTTGCTCGAGGGCAAGGCTTACATTGGTTTGCTCGAGGGCAAGGCTTACACTGGCTTGTCAAGGACAAGGCTTAAGGGGGCTTGCTCGAGGGCAAGGCTTACGGGGGCTTGCTCGAGGGCAAAGCTTACATTGGCTTGTCAAGGACAAGGCTTACACTGGCTTGTCAAGGACAAGGCGTACATGCTTGCTGGAGGCAAAGCAAACTATCGGGTTGTTATACCCGGGGTTTGGATTTGTTAATTGTTTGGACTGGACTTAGATTTATAATGTATCCAAGCTGCCTACGTACCCAAACGGGATGAAGCCGAACGTAGTTCATTACAAAAGAAAATGGAAAACATGTATGGGCACGCAGGCCCGCTAAATTAGAAATAAAATGCAAGGACACGCAGGCCCGAAGAACCAAAAATAACATGCAGAAAAAGAAAATCTCCTAAACGGCGTCGGGAATGTTACTTGTAATATATTTTTAGATTGTCGGCATTCCAGGGCCTCGGAAGAGGTCTGCCCGAAGTGTCTCTTAGGCTGTATGCTCCTTTGCGAACCTGTCGTATGACCTCGTAGGGCCCTTCCCAGATGGGCCCGAGCTTTCCTGGGGTGGCCTGCCGCTTCGGCCCTCCTCAAGACCAAATCGCCAGCTCTGAACCTCCGAGCCTTAACTTTGCTATTAAAATGTTTTGCTGTCTTAGTTTGGTAAGAGGCCACTTTTATAGCGGCTTGCTCCCGTACTTCTTCCAAGAGATCAAGATGTTCAATTGTATGCTCCGAGGTTTCTGGCACGAGCCTCCTATGGCTTGGCAGTCTAATTTCCACTGGGACCATTACTTCAAAGCCATAGGCTAACATAAAAGGGGTTTCTCCTGTGGTTGTCCTATGAGTTGTTCTATACGTCCAAAGTATAGAAGGAAGCTCGTCGGACCAAGAACCCCTAGCATCGCTTATTCTTGTTCGGAGGTCTTGTAATATGATTCGATTTGTTACCTCGGCCAAACCGTTGCTCTGAGGATGCGAAACTGATGTCAGACGGTGATCAATCCCAAGGTTTGAGCAAAAGTTTATAAACTGTTGGTTGTCAAATTGTCTGCCATTGTCGGTGATGAGGACCTTTGGTATCCCAAACCTGCAAATGATAGACCTCCAAGTGAAGGCTCTTAGCTTGGGCTCCGATATTGTGGCGAGAG